ATCAACCATATGACGATGTATCTCATGAACAAAACGCACCCACTGTACTGCCAGACAATACATATGAGGTAGCACAGAAAAAACCAGAAAGACCACCAAAACCAATGGTGAGTATAACATATTTTTTGGCTCAGGTTTTGTTACCTTAAATATGTTTGTCTTTTTCCCTACACCGATTACTGCACCATTCTGAAGCCGCAGATTTATATTTGTTCCTGGTCTTGAGATTCGATTGTGCTGAATTGCTATGAAAATGTATTTTTACAACATTTGGGGGAAGCAACCATTCTGCCCCATTCTTCATTTCTTATTCCTATAAATTTGTCTTGCTTAACTGTCACCACATGTCATGAAATGGTTCATAATCATTATCACAAGAATGTCATCGGATAGTCCAACATTAAGGTCACAAAATTGTCATGGGATGGTCCATCATCACTGTCATTACAATGTGATTGTCACTGTCACTGTCACTGTCACTGTCACTGTCACCACAATGTCATGGGATGGTCCATCATCACTGTGACCACAATGTCACATAATTGTCCATCATCACTGTCATTACATTGTCACTGTCACCACAATGTCATGGAATGCTCCATCATCACTGTGACCACAATGTCACATGATTGTCCATCATCACTGTCATTACATTGTCACTGTCACCACAATGTCATGGGATGTTCCCATCACCATTGTGACTACACTGTCATTACATTGTCCATCATCACTGTCATTACAATGTGATTGTCACTGTCACCACAATGTCATGGGATGCTCCATCATCACTGTGACCACAATGTCACATGATTGTCCATCATCACTGTCATTACATTGTCACTGTCACCACAATGTCATGGGATGCTCCATCATCACTGTGACCGCAATGTCACACAATTGTTCATCATCACTATCACTTCAATGTCATTGTCACCACAATGTCATGGGATGCTCCATTATCACTGTGACCACAATCTCACATGATTGTCCATCATCACTGTCATTACAATGTCATTGTCACTGTCACCACAATGTCATGAAATGGCCCATCATCACTATGACCACAATGTCATGAGATGCTCCATCATCACTATGACCACAATGTCACATGATTGTCCATCACTGTCATTCCAATGGCATTCTCACTGTCACCACAATGTCATGGGATGTTCCATCACCATTGTGACTACACTGTCATTACATTGTCCATCATCACTGTCATTACATTGTCACTGTCACCACAATGTCATGCGATGCTCCATCATCACTGTGACCACAATGTCACATGATTGTCCATCATCACTGTCATTACAATGTCACTGTCACCACATTGTCATGGAATGCTCCATCATCACTGTGACCACAATGTCACATGATTGTTCATCATCACTGTCATTACAATGTCATTGTCACCACAATGACATGGGATGCTTCATTATCACTGTGACCACAATGTCACATGATTGTCCAACATCACTGTCATTACATTGTTACTGTCACCACAATGTCATGGGATGATCCATCACTGTGACCACAATATCACATGATTGTCCATCATCACTGTCATTATGTTGTCACTGTCACCACAATGTCATGGGATGCTCCATCATCACTGACCACAATGTCACATGATCGTCCATTATCACTGTCATTACATTGTCATTGTCACCACAATGTCATGTGATGGCCCATCATCACTGTCATCACATTGTCACGGGATGGTCCATCGTCACTCATTACATTGTCACTGTCACATCATCACTGTGATCACAATGTCACATGATTGTCCATCATCACTGTCATTACATTGTCACTATCACCACAATGTCATGGGATGCTCCATCATCACTGTGACCACAATGTCACATGATTGTCCATCATCACTGTCATTACAATGTCACTGTCACCACACTGTCATGGGATGCTCCAACATCACTGTCATTGTCACTGTCACCACAATATTACAGGGTTGTCCAACATCACTGTCATTGTCACTATCACCACAATGTCACATGATTGTCCAACATCACTGTCAATGTCACTGTCACCACAATGTTACAGGGTTGTCCATCACCATGATTACAGTGTCATGGGATGGTCCAGCGTCACTCATTACATTGTCACTGTCACCACAATGACATGTGATGGCTCATCATCACTGTGACCACAATGTCACATGATTGTCCATCACCACTTTCATTATATTGTCATTGTCACCACAATATCATGGGATGCTCCATCATCACTGTGATCACAGTGTCACATGATTGTCCATCATCACTGTCATTACATTGTCACTATCATCACAATGTCATGGGATGCTCCATCATCACTGTGACCACAATGTCACATGATTGTCCAACATCATTGTCATTGTCACTGTCACCACAATGTTACAGGGTTGTCCATCACCGTAATTACAGTGTCATGGGATGGTTCATTGTCACTGTCACCACAATGTCATGGGAGGGTCATAATCACTTTTACTGGAGTGTCACTAGATTCTCCATCACTGCCATCACAATGTCACAGGTTTGTTCATTACAATGTCATTACAGCACCATTACATGTTTCATTGTCACTGTCACCACAATGTTATGGGATGGCCCATCATCAATGTGACCACAATATCACATGATTGTCCATCATCACTGTCATTACAATGTCACTGTCACCACACTGTCATGGGATGCTCCAACATCACTGTCATTGTCACTGCCATCACATGTCACAGGTTTGTCATTACATGTCATTACAGCATCATTACATGTTTCATTGTCACTGTCACCACAATGTTATGGGATGGCCCATCATCAATGTGACCACAATATCACATGATTGTCCATCATCACTGTCATTACAATGTCACTGTCAGCACAATGTCATGGGATGCTCCATCATCACTGTGACCACAATGTCACATGATTGTCCAACATCATTGTCATTGTCACTGTCACCACAATGTTACAAGGTTGTCCATCACCGTAATTACAGTGTCATGGGATGGTTCATTGTCAGTGTCACCACAATGTCATGGGATGGCCCATCATCACTGTGACCACAATGTCACATGATTGTCCATCATCACTGTCATTACAATGTCATTGTCACTGTCACCACAATGTCATGGGATGCTTCATCATCATTGTGACCACAGTGTAACATGATTGTCCACTATCACTGTGACCACAATGTCACTTACAATGTCACATCACTGTCATTACAATTTCATTGTCATTGTCACCACAATGTCATGTGATGACCCATCATCACTGTCACCACAATGTCACAGGGTTGCCCTTCACTGTAATTACAGTGAAATGAGATGGTCCATTGTCACTTTCACCACAATGTCATGGGAGGGTCATCATCACTGTAACCACATTGTCATGGGGTTGTCCATCATCACTGCCACCACAATGTCATGGGGGAGCGGGATCCATTGTCACTGGCACTACAATGTTATGGGTGATGCCAAGTTATGAGCATTAATAGCAACAAAAGTAAAAATCATGACTTCTCATAGATTGTTCAGCCAATGAGATATTTTTCACTACAATTTGTCCCCAATTGAGTCTCTATTCAGGATGTCTATATTAAACCACATAGGCAGCTACATTTTGTATGTCTGCTGTAGCATATATTATTTGTGCTTACATTTTATTTGCTGAAATTTGCCAAGACAATGAACAATCAAAATTTGCATTTGATGGCCCGTTCCCCAACACAAAAATGACTCATCATGACTGTGAAATAAATAGTGTTTCTTGTAACATTGAAAAGAAAATTAGGGTAGGTAGGTGAGAAAACAATTTTTTTTTTTGTTATTTATCTTTTTAGCTCCGCTGATTGTCCGTTTCCGCCGCCACCATCGTTGTCGTCAACTTTCCATTTTCGACTTCTTCTTAAAAACCACAAACTGTATAGCTGTAAAACTTTCTAGGAATGTACCTTGGGTGGTTCTCTCTCAGATTTGTTCATTTCGTGTGGATATGTTCAATTGTCTTATTTATAGCGAATTTTTTTGTCATTTTCGACTTTTTCTTGAAAACCGCTAGCCCAAATGCTTTGATACTTGGTATGTAGGTACCTTACTTTCTGATATGTTCATTTCGTGATGATATCTTCATTTCTCTAATTTTGATGAATATTTTTGTCATTTTTGGTAAAAGTGATATTTTCGACTTCTTGTTAAAAACCACAAGTCTAGTTGCTTTGATATTATATATACTACATAGGTACTACAGGTAGACCTCTCTCAGATTTGTTCATTTCGTGATGATTTTGTTCTTCAATCATCTAAT